GATACTGCCCTCACCCCCACCCCTGAACTGGCTTCACTCCCCCTGGCTCACGGGGTCCCGTACTTCGAGAAACCTGTGCGCCAGGGGGAGTGTAGGCAGTCTAGGGGGTGGGGGTGAGGGCAGCCACTTGATGCCCCCCTTACTGGATGAGCGCCAAAAAGTGTTATATGATGATGACCATGATAAATACTCTCAATATAAGTCATTGAATTCGAAAACCATGCAAAAATTCTGAAGTGGGCTTAGCTTTTACATGAGTAAGGTTTTTGAGCTTCTTTTTTTCGAATCCAGACCACAATAAAGCCCTAAAAGTGAAATATTTATTCATTCAATTGCATAACTAATTCCTTCCGTGATGGCAGTATGTAATTTGGCCTTCAATATATGCCGTGTCGGATACGACGGCAAATCAAGGCGATTGAAACACGTATGCGCCCTAAAATAGTCGATATGGAAAATTTAAAAATTGATGATGATCGGTTTTAGGTATCTTACCTTGGCAAGGCTGATTCTTCACCCCATTTTTCTATAGTGAATCGTTTCGGTCCATTACTTCCACGTAACATCGCAAATCCTTCAAATGGAATACTCGACGTGCCGGTGACGAACTGAAAATAACTTTAAGTCACAAAGGTTTTAAAATCGGGGATAAGTGGAATGAGGTTTTGCTAGCCTGAAAGCACGAGGTCCGAAGGTCGCGGCTTGAAACAGTGGGGTTATCTATTTAAGTTCATTACATTAGAGGATTTTTTCCAGCGTATTGTGGCAATAGTGCATTCCATAGTTAAATTTTTGATTAGTTGTCGTTGCGTATTATCGAGCGTCAAGGCGAGATGTTTGGGATGTTCTAAGGAAGGCGTAGCCAATTACAGGGAAATGCCGGCGTGAAAGAAAAAATATTGGGAAGGTATGAATACCACTTCACCGCATTCGATCATCTTTGATTTAGGCCGATGTCAGACTTTGCGAATCGCGCGACTCGCTAGCGTCTGCGGTCGCGTCGCGGCCAGTGAATCACTCAATTGGCTGGTACCGCAACGCGACCGCGGGCGCTAGCGAATTGCGCGAATCGCTAGTTAGCGATGCGTGATTGCAAGTTGAACGGCAACCTTACGATCTATGTTTTGCTCAGCCCCAGTGTCTCGATACCTTTCAATTAAAAACCTTTTTGAATGTTAAACGGGTACTAACGCGACAACTCTTACTGAGCGCCAGGCACGCCCAGTCAAATGGACGAGTTTTCTACCCACCTGGAGCAGTTTCAACCGATCGGCATTCGTCATTTGAGCAACACGATCCCAAACCATTCGATGACCACATGTTCGTCAAAATAACCACCCTGAAATCTTACGCATTTTGTGATTATATTTTTACAAGAACAGAGAGAAAATAAACAAAAAAACCGAAATAAAAGTCAAAATCGGCATGATGAGGTCCTTTAAAGGACGAATTCACGATGAAAAAGCAACCCATTCCAAATTAACCTAAGGATGGTGAGTGGTACCGCAAAGGGAGAACATGAGAACGGCCCAGAAATCGAGGATGGGGAACGTATTGCGTTGATTAGAAGCATTGATGGACTCTCACGCCCCACTGTGGCCCTCTTCGAACAGTTCCTCAGCTATCTAATCACTCGCCACGTATTGAACTACGGCGAGTGATCAGATGGATCGGTGGGCGGAGATCGCCGGACCCGCCAGCTTTGAGGCCTGATAGGTCGCCGAGGTCAAATTTTTCCATGCGAATTGCGCGTCAGTTCGCACTAGGAGGTCGTGATGGTCTTATAGGTCAAGTTTTCTTTGTTAGTCTTTAATCGTGAATCCTCTTTTAGGTTATTGACATTGGATGCCGAAATGACGGAAAAGTACCGTGATTACTCGAGTAACGGGTAATAGTATGTTTAAATTGGAGAAATTCCATTCAAAAATATTTAAAATCCTTTTCGCTAAAATATTTTATCCGAAGGAAAACAATGATGAACAGTTTGCTCTTACCCTATACTCCGTATTCTTCCTCCAGTCCTCTAGATCAATTTCTCTAGAACCTGACAGGACCAATTCAACCTGATCGACAGTGAACACTCGCAAAAAATCGCGATCAATAATCTGAAACTGGATGAATTTCTTGAAGTAAACACTGTTTCTGCAATGTACGACCACTAAAGTTTGGGAAGAATTTGCTCATTTCATTCCACTGAAAAAAGAGGAAAAAAGAGCTGAGAAGAGGTGAAAAAGAAGATTTAAAAAAGAGCCCAGAGACTCGATTAGTAAAATGGATAGCCCAGTCGAGTCAGACTGACCTGATGCAGTCCTCGTAAGAGAGCCCGCGATTGACGTTGAATGCCTCGTTCAACCCGCCATTTCACCATCAACGAGATGAACTCCTCTTTATTGTTATCAGCCACATCGAGGGCGGCCCCGTTTGGTAAGAGTTCCTTCTCAACTACCTATAATTGCCACATCGTATTTGGCGCAAACATATATGAGGCAGATTCAGAAAGTCGAAAATCGGAACTCGGGATGCGTGACCGGGACCCACAGGGAAAAGTTGTGGCCCACAGTCGGACTTCTGCATGAGGTATTTGGTGCTTGCGAAATAGTTATTGCCAGCGAGACATGTTTAGGGGCGGTTGCCCGAAAGGAAACCCGTCGCGCGGCAAGAAGGCAGAGTCAGCGGACGAGTCGCGCGCACTGTAGTTTTCGCGTCAAGTTAAATAGAATGTCCATTGCACGTCCTACATCGCACATCACGCGCTGCGACTCGTCCGCTGACTCTGCCTTCTTGCCGCGCGACGGGCCTCCTGTCGGGTACCCGTTCAGGGGCACACTACACGATCGTAGGCTGTGAATAATGGGGTTCACATATGTGGTAGATGCTGCATGTCCAGAGAATGAAGAGGAAGCAAAATATACAGTCGAAATGCCTTGAATAAGGTTCCTAGAGTAGGTGATCCAGAGGATTGTACGGATCAAGAGCGAGAGAGTACATGTCCATTCAGAGATTCCGACGACGAGGAAACGAGAGAGGCTGGAAGCACGAGAGTCGCAGACACGGACGGGTAATCAGTGGAGGCGGAGACAGCGTTTTTGAACGCACTAATCGCCTTCTCTAGCACCCCAACTGTTTTATGGCAGCTCAGTTTACGAGATTACGGTAGAATGTGCCTTTAAGCTCGACGTCATCACACGGTCTTCCTTCTCTTGACTCGCTTAAGGTCAATTCATGACCTAGTCGTAGTCAATATAATGGAATGCA